TTCCGCGCCCGCCGGTACTCCTCATGAAGCCGGTCCTCCTCACCGTCTCCACGGTGACGCCGCCGACTGCGTGTGTAGGACCTCCGGGCACGTGTACAGGCCGCACGGAGGTCCGCCAGCTCCTGGGACCACCAGTAGACCTCCTTCCTTGGAGGCCGACGACCTCGAATGCGGGGCATGGCCGCATCGCAGATATGCGTAATCGCATCGCGAAAGCGGCCAGCCCCCACGTCGACCTCCTCGGTCGGAGCCTGAGGAGACAGCCACGAGTGAATTATGGCTGCCTCCTCTAGTAGGTCCCGGTTCAGTCTGGCAACAGCCCACCGCGGAAAGCGGGATAAACGCCGCGCCACGTGACCCCTACTGGAGTCCTGGGTCCGGGAGAGCTCAAATCGGATATACAGGTGATCCGAGAGCGTCTCAACCTCTTCCAGGACACACCAGTTCCTTACTCGTGCGGCGAGGGCAGGGGTAGCGAACGAGAGGTCCACTATCGACCCCCCCTGCTGTCGCACGCACGTGTTGGTGGAGCCTCTGTTTAGAAGACAGAGGCCCACCGAGGCCGCCCACTCCTCTACGGCCTCGCCCCTTGCGTCCGTCCTGGGGGAACCCCACGCAATGGACTTTGCGTTGAAGTCCCCCAGCACAAGGACGTGCCCAGACGCTAGTCGCCGTATCGAGGTCTCCAAGCTGGTTAGGAAAACCTCGAAGTCGTTCAAACTCCGGTTGGGGGAGAAATAAACACCATATATGGTGATCCCCCCCCACTCGACGGCAACATATCCAGTGCCCTTGTCTCTTAGCGACAAGGGCGGGGAATGAGCCGTCGTGGAACCGACGACTGCCACGGAGCCGTCCCAGTCACCCATCCAGTTTGGACGGGGAGGGACAGAATAGGGCTCCGCGACTACGGCAACACCTATCGACCACTGTGCCATGGTTTGCAGGAAGAGATCCTGCGCCGCGGCACAGTGGTTCAGGTTCGTCTGGACCAGGAGGCTGGAGACCCGATCCATTACTGGATCGTCTCTACAGCCTCCTCCATGGGCGACGACGTCGACGCACGAACTACATCGGAGGCAGCCTGGGTCGACTGGCTAGCCCCCGATGCTTGCTGAGAGTTGCGGGGAGGCTTGCAGCCCCCCTGCCCCATCTGATGATTGGCGGGCTTGTTACCCGCCGCACACACCGGGCAGTGAGGGGCGGCAGAGCATTCCACCGCCACATGCCCCGGTCGACCACAGCGGAAACATAGTCCGCTGCAGTCGAAGCAGCTTTGGCACTTGACGCGCGTGTGCCCCGATGCTAGGCATTTGTAACACCTCATCGGTCTCGCCGCCAGGACTGTGATCCTAGCGCTCACGAAACCGATGAGCAGCTTGCCGGCGTCGGCCAATACTTTGGCCGACGCTACGGGACAGCTGACCCACACGGCGCCAAGCCCCCCTGGACCGGGGCGGATGGTGCCGACCCTGACGTTGTCCGCGCTGCACCCCGTCTTCTCCCGGATTACAGCGCGGACATCTTCGGCCGTCACAGAGTCGTCCAGGCCCGAGATGCGCAGCTCCGCGCACTTGGTAGGCCTGGCGATCTTGACACCATCTGTGGCCGCGAATAAACCCCGCAGCCTCTCAGCGAAAGTGTCCGCCGTCTTGGCGCCTTCAGCCCCTGGGAACTCGAGAACTCGAGCTCCCGTTTGGGCGAGGCGCATCCTGACCCCCACCGTCCCGAAGTCGTTGGCGAGGCTGTCCCGGGCCTTTTTAAAAACGGCCGCGTAGGACAGCCCGCCGTCAGCCGCCTCCGGGGATACGGTCACCACTACAGCCGCGGTTTTGGGCGGCTGCAGCTTCCGCGGCCTCTTTGCAGAGGCCATTGCCACCGGTGGCGAAGGCTGGGCTTGGGCTGCTTTTTGGGCAGCCCTTCTGGCCCGCCTTCGGGACTTCTTGGAGCCCCTCGCCTCCTGCCAGCCCTCGTTGGAGGGGGCAGGTGCGGAGGGGCCCGGCAGGGGTGTCGGAGTGGGGAGCGGAGGGAATGCCACTCCGCTCCTCGGCGCCGTTTTAGGCCCCGTCTTGGCCGGCACTTTGGCCTGCGCCTTGGCCGGCGCCTGGGACGGTGCCTTGGCCGGCGCCTGGGCCGGTGCCTTGGCCCCCCTCCTCGGCTTTTGGGGAGCCGATGGAGTCGGGGCAGACGCCGCCGCCGCGTAGGAGACGCGGCCTCCCACTACGGGGAGCGCGGTCGGAGCGGCGGCCTTAGGCCGCTGTGTCGACGCGAGCGGGGGGCGCATACTCGGCGCAGGAGGCAATCTCGCCTCCAGGCCAGCCAGGCGTCCGTCCAGCATATTCCCAACTGCGATGAGGATTTCTCGCAGTTGGGAGTCAAATGCCCCTGAGTTGGTAGTAGGGGCAGGCTGGGACGCGGACGGGGCTTCCCGCTCGGGGAGGTTCGCCTGGAAGCGGGCGAACTGAGCGCTCAGCTCGTTCACCCGCTCCGTCAGCCTCTCGTTGGCCACCTGCAGGCGAGACACATCGCCCACTAGGCTCTCCACGACCTCCGACAAAGCGGAGGAGGAGTCCTTAAGGGCCCTCACAAACGAGCCCTTAAGGTTCACGGACTTGGTGGCCACCTTGTGGATGACGGCCACCGCCGCTTTCGCCCTCTCCTGCACGGACACGGAAGCCTGGGGGGCATTTCCCCCCACCGGCTCCCGAACCTTGAGCAGGAGATCCGCGATCTCCTCCTCCGCTACGGCCTCGCCGTCCACTCGTACATTCCTGTACGACTCCGCGTTTGAGAACGCGGAGCCTGACGGGGTCGAGACCGGGGCCGAGGCAGGTTTGCGTGCCCTCCCTCGGCGGCTGCTTGCCACCTTCGGTGGCATCATCTCCTGGGACGTGTCGGTTTCCTCGTCCCTGGAGCGTCCTCGTTTCCGGCTGTCGCTTCGCTCCGCCTCCATGGCGTCAGCGCCATCCGACGAAACGGCGGATCCGGAGCGCAGCCGATCTGATGCTCTTCGGCTCCCAGAGACCAGCGTCAGACTGACTTCTGGGAGCCCCATAGAGATAGGCGTCCCCGACGCCACCTCACCCTCAGTGGACGACCCATCCGCTCCACTGTTCTGCTTCTCCTTCCTTCCCTTCGTTTTCTTCGTTTCCGTTAGACTTGCCTTCTGTTGTTGGTTATTTCCGATCGTTTTTTGTGTTTTAAGGTTTTGAATTTTTTCCATATTTAATCCCACGAGTGGGGGAGAACTAAAGGTCCACCCGGGCAGAGATCCCCCATTACCCGGGCAAGCGTAAGTTTTTAACCCAACCGAGGGGTCCGCAGGTACCTCGGCTTGGAGTGCGCTCGCGACTGAACTTCCCATCAGCCATGCATCCCCTGGCCACGCACCAGAACACGGGATTCGGGGAATTTTTTAGAGAGGTTATCTTCCTCGCGGTCCGGGCGGTTAAGCCAAGACCCTCGCCCCCGATCAGAGCCGCGAGACTTAACCACAGCGCTCTTCTCGGGATTACGATATGCCGACGGTTGACAGGGAGACTACGTCCCCCTGCCTGCTCGGTGGTAGTGTGAGTACACGCCGAGCCCGTCCTCCTTTCTCCACCGCTGTCAGCGGAGAAACTGTGGCCCCTACAGGGCCCCGCCATCAGGTTTTTTACCGAGGTTTCCTCCTCCATGCTCCGAAGAGCGAAGAGCCAGCAGGGCAACCGGCAGACACGCCCACCCTGCTGGACCAGGCCTTGCCCGAGAGCCGATGAACGGCTGCCTCTTCTGCTAGAATATTGGCCGCTGGCGATAATCCTCTCCTCCAAGAGGACAAGGAGGAAACAGTACCATCGCCAGCGTTTCCAGGGTGCACCACGAGGAGGTTTTCTAGCCCAGCACCCCAAACAAACCCTATACCAACCCGTCTGGCCAGCGCGGTACAGTAGGCCAAAAACTTTTTTCTAAAGAGAGGCCTATGACCAGCAGTGGACTATTAAATGTTGATGATGATGAATACGTATACTTTAAATTAAATAAAAATAAAGGTAAAATAGTTACAAATTAAGGGTAGAACATTAAGGAATAAAGAATAGGTACAGTTTTTTTTATGGAAGCAAAGCAAGCAAACAAAAATAAGATGGTAATGTCATAATTGGTTGTGTCATAATCTTTTTAAAATATGGTCCACAACTATCAGTAGATTTTAATTTGAACATTGCTCTAATGCTTTGCTTTTGAGATTTAAAAACAATATCTTTGTTTGTCGAGTTTCCCTTTTTTTTCCGTGCGGAAATCCCCTCGGATACCACCTATCGGTGGCATGTCGGACTCGGACCGACTAAAACCGCACGCCGTCTCGGGTACTAATAACCGGGGAACCCTAGAAAGGAAGTCCCTGGTGCCCCGATATACCTCGGGCCATCTACAACAAGTAGACGACCCCCCCCCCGTGTGGGAACCCCATGTTCCCTCTGCTCCCTGGAAGCGAGCGCGTTGCGAAGCGCGCTCGCTCGCCGCGCGCCGTGTCGAGTTTCCCTAGAACATCATGCTTTATCTAAGATAGTGTTACCGACACCTCTATTTATAAGTATCTACATATATTGGCCCCGTTTACAAGAGAGTTGAGTTTAGGTTGAAATACATTGATAATATACCAATTAATATTGATTGATATATTAATATTGTGTGTGTTTATTTAATTTAAACATATATTGAAACGTAATATATATTCTATGTATGTATGTAGTATGAGTACAACATAGAATATTTATTCATATCGGAACTTTTCGAATCAAAAATTTTTAAATTTTCAAGTTTTCACTTCTGTCGGCACTGCCGGAGTGCAACTGTTTTTTTTTATTGATCGTCTTTGGACGTCACTTCATTCTTGAGGGAGGTTTTATACTTCCTATTTAACATCACGATACGATGGTGGTGGATGGTGGTGACCATAACCACTGATTCAATAGTGGGAAATGGTTAATATTGTAATAAAACGATATGTTTCTTTATAGATGATGATTTAGAGTCGCTCCTTGACGAGGTGGTGAGAGCGAGCAACCGTGGTGTGGTCGCTTCTCGCAACGTCAGCGGCGGACCCAATTGGAGCTTCGGACAGTCTTTGTTCTTCTCTTCCACTGTCGTTACCACCATCGGTAAGTATCGTAACTTTTTAGCGGCCGATGGAGGCACGCTCCGCAGTCTAAACGCCTGTTGGATCTTGGCTAGAGAGGTTTAATTTGAAAATATCTAGTGTCACTCTCACAATTAAGCGAAGACGCTAATATCTATCAAGCCTTTTAGGCTATAGAAAGTGCCAAACATATAAATAAACACACATACATATACTCGAAAAACTTAACCCTCCTGGTGCAGAAAATATATAATACCACTCACTCACTCACTCACTTAAAAATGGCGACCGGATGGCGTAGTGGTTTGCGTAATGGACTGCTATTCCAAAAGTCGCGGGTTCAATTCCCGCTCAAGTCAAACATTTTTGCATGAACATTTTCTTACATTTTCATAGTACATCTTACTCGCCCCGCTTTAGACGACCGGATGGCGTAGTGGTTTCTGTAATGGACTGCTATTCTTAAGGTCGCGGGTTCGATTCCCGCTCAAGTCAAACATTTGTGTGCATGAACTTTTAATGTTTGATTTGGTCAAAAAAAAAAGTATATATGTATTTATATCAGGTGTCTAGTAGCCATAGTACAAGCTCTGCTTAGTTTGGGACTAGATGGCGTTGTGTGAATGTGGTAGAATATTATTATTTATTTATTTAAAATAATCTACACAAGTTTCTACAAGAAGAATTTTAACGAAACTTAACTACATATCTTGTTGCAGGCTACGGACATGTAACACCTCTCTCAAAGCCAGGCAAGCTCTTCTGCATGATGTACGCACTCCTCGGTATTCCTCTGACGCTGGTGCTGCTGTCTGCACTGGTAGAACGACTGCTCCTACCAGCGACTGCACTGCTCAGGGCCCTAAACGCATCTTTAGGCCACTTGTACAGACCATTCACTATACGACTTGTGCATTTGATGATCATTGGTAAGTAAAGTTTGCTGTATTTCCAGATCGACACGGCCTTCAAACCTTTAAGAAAAGAGCGTAGTCCTTTCTAAAAAGCCGGGAACGCACGTGTGACTCATGAGTTGCAAGCGTTCATGGGCGGCGGTAATCACTTTTCGTCAGCTGACCCGTTTGCTCAATTGTCCTCTATTCTTTACTCGATGGACTCGTGACCCTTAAATTGCAGATGTCCACAGGCGGCAGTAGACGCTTACTATCAGGTGAACAGCTGTGAACAGTTTGTAAGCCCCTTGTCATAGAAAAAAATGTTATGCCGACAAAGGAGTACGCGTAGAGGTTTTTTTTTTATTTTCTATTACAGTATCCGAGTAAAAGACATGTAAAATGTAGGTAACTGTAAACATATATTTTTTATTGAATTATGAGCGCAATCTGCCAGCTGATAAGTGAATCAGGAAATCGCCCTTCTCGAGAGGGAAAAAAGGATTTTTTTATGTGCTTTCTAACAGAGACAATATACAGATAGGGAGTGAAGGGAGCCACGATCCGCGGACGTTGGGACATGCGTCTTTTTGCACCTCTTCCCTGCTTTGTTGGCCCGATATGGTGGCCGTCTTCTTTCTCTTCCTACCGACATCCCTATTCTACTTACCGGCAATCCAATACCTTCTTCCCTCTATCTCTATGGTTATGATTATCTCTATGTATTATCTCTATGGTTTCTAAGTAGACGTGGTTTTTTAATCCAATCGACGAGCCGAGTCAGGTCGAATATTCGATTTAAAAAACCATGTCAGTCATTCGAATAAAGTCCATTTTAAGATTCAATAACACCGGACTATGCAACATCTGCCTAATTTAACTTATTTAAAAAAACTTATTTAAAATAATAAAGGTTAGGACTTATTTAAATAATAACAAACTACCGATTTTCTTTTTCACAGTGACAACACTGGTGGTGTTCTTTTTGGTCATACCGGCTAGCGTGTTTGCGTACTTGGAGCCTGACTGGGACTTCCTAGACTCGTTCTATTACTGCTTCATCTCTCTGACGACCATCGGACTCGGGGACTACATCCCCGGAGATGCTCCTGGACAAGTCTACCGACCCATCTATAAAGTTGCTACAACTTGTAAGTTCGTTTAGAAACCATTTTTTCCATGTCTCTCACAAACAACTCATAAAAATAGTAATTTAATTCAAATTGTTACACACCGTAATTATAAATTAATTAAATAAAATAACTTAAAATTGAGTTAATATTTTAACTTAAAAAATTTAAGAACTCCTCTACGTCCGTTTTCTAAAGTATTTTCAAGTATTCATAAAGATTCCTGAACTTCTTATCTCTCTATACACAGTTCTATCTATCTAACAGAATAATTGAATGGCCAACAATTCCTTAAAAAAACCTTATCTATTTTTTACAGTCTACTTACTGATTGGCTTGACGTTCCTGATGCTGACTCTGACTGTCTTCTACGACATTCCTCAACTGAACTTGAGCACGGTGTTCTCCTCGGTCAAACTTGACGAAGATCCAGAGAAGATGCGACTCAGTGGTTCTGGAGTAGTGGTGCCTGGTTACGGTATGGGTGGACTTATGATGAGGGATGATTACAACCGTCACGATCAACGCCGCTCCGTCGTCCATATTCGTCCACATCTTGATGATAGCCCGAGCCCCGAGGACACGACCCCGGTCCACGCGAGAGATATTCGCGTTCACTAAACAGCTTGTGTCTATGGTCGAGCGTGAATTATTGGCAATTTGGTGTTATGGTTGAAGCAACGTAGAACCACCTGTTTTTGTTATTAAAGCTTTGAATGTTTTTTAAACATTTATACCACAAACAACTTAAAAAGTTTGTAGAATGAACCTACTTTTTAGAAAGTGGTTCCACGTTGCCGGTATCCGTAACATAGCATCCAAAACCTGTTTGTAAATGATTGCTCATGTCGAATCGAAAAAGAAATTAAAAATTGTTTATGATATCTTTAGTAAGCGATTACTTTAACTAGTGAATGATTTCAGTTAAGTTGCTATGAAATTTATTTTTATTTTTTTAAATGCGTATTTTTTCTTTGTTTTAGTTTTTCAACTACCGTCCTAATCTTATGCAAATAATAATTAATCTTTTTCCCGGCTCTTTAAAAGAGATATTACAGTCTGCTGGTAAATTGCTATGAAAATAAGACTGAAAAGGTTTTTTCAAGTTTTCAAACTTTTCGAAATGTTATTTTTTAGACATTTGTAGCTGCGATATGAAATATGGCGGTATAAAAGCAAATTAACTAATGACGAAAACAATGTAATATCTAAACAGACTGAAAACAACATGTCCTTCTATACCTATGTATACGTTTTACATTCTCGTAAAATATAAGACATATTCTAACGAATCCTTCACATCCATGTTTTAATGTTTTGGGCATATCAGTAGAAATGTTACCACATCGAAAACCAGCAATCAAAATCATTTTACACCCGACTTCTCATTTATCTTTTTTTAAAACTAGGTATCTTTATACATATAACTAGATGGGTACTAATTATTATAAATTAAAAGTAAAAAAAATGTGTATAGGAATTGACGTATCAATTTTATGTGTGATAGATGACCAATAACTTGTAGATTCAATGGATTTAATCAATTTAAAAAAATATTTATACTATCTCTCTATAGGCGTTTATGCAACTGCTATATATAAATAGTAATAAACGTAAAATGTTATCATTAAATAATTAAAAAATAGGATGTATGTGTATCTTATTTGGAAGAAAACCTCTGAGAGACAGCTACTAGCTACGACGAAGCGGTCATGTCGGTGTCGTCGTCATGTTTATGTATATAAACAATACGACAGCGACATGAACATGAATCCATTCTTATTTCCGCATGGTATCTCCCATATCTCTTAATCTGTGTTGTCTCCGACTCAGGCTTGAAGCCGATAGATGTAAATCAGAGCCATCAAAATCACGGCCTGCGGGCTACACGTGGCTCGCGTCTTAAAGGAGATGTCCACTTCATGTATGGACGTTGGTTTTTTGCGGAGTAAAATTAGGGATTGGGAATTAATTAGATAACAATTTTTAAAGCTTTCATTTGAGAGAAAATAAAAGGTATTTTATGTTGTTAGATATTTTTATTGGAGGATGGCAATACTAAACATTCTATTTATTTATCATTATTCACAAGATAAATCAATCAATAGTAGGGAACAGTGAACACTTTTCTCCTGAACATGACGTATCAATTACTCTTTATATTTGTAGAAATCTCACAATTCTTCATAGCAAACTCTAAGGAAACATAATCGTCATTTATAAATCACGCGTGACGCGTCAGAGACAATTGTCCTACTTGTCATTTCATTTTTTATTGGGCATCGGTAGCAAAAGTTTTGGCCCGAAAATATGCTAAGGTAAAAACGATGTCAAAGTCTGTCCCTAAATCGTACCTGGTTTGGACAACCTTGACGTAAATCAATGATTAATCCTCTGAAAACCAGAGTCGGTAAATCTGCAGACTTAAAATAATAGTAATGTAGTAATGTATTGTCTTTCTTATCACAAAGAAAAGAAAACATTGCCATTTCTACAGAGTATTGTGAGGAAGTTTTCAAGCCAAGCACCCCATTTTGGCGTAGTGAATATGTGTGATAACATAAATACGAATCGTGAGTCAACTCAGCTGCTTAGAGGAGTAACCCTGGTACGCGGTATGAAGGAGAGCGGAGTCTCTCTCCTGCCGACCATGACTACGGTTGTACCAGTTGGCTTCGCTTGCTAACGGGTACGCCCGTTGACGACAAGAGTGTCACGTACCTACATCACTAGTACGCGTTGGGTGCAACACAAGATTATTCGCGAAAAAATATATTTGATTAATTCACATGAGTACTTTTATACTTTTGTACAGCAATCACATGGTTGTAAGAATTCAATTTTACCACAACCTTTTCCCAATATTTTTACTAACTAAAATCACGAAACGAAAGAAACGAATTAAAATATTCTCCAATGTATAATTTTAACCTGTTTCATATATTTTGCATATATTGACAACCTTTGCACATTTTGAGTCGAGACGGTCTTGTAGGTAGGACAGACAGACGAGACAATCTCTATCAAAGGAGTTTACTCACTTTTAGTATTTGTTACACATATGGTACTCGTAGCGATAAGTTTTTTCGAGCACTACTTCGCTTAATAAAAATGAAATCTGTGGAAAAAACAGATTTAAATAATATTGAAAACGTGTATAACAATCTACACTTACTCATTATTGTTTTTTTTAATGAACTGTGTGGCTGTGACTATTTCACAAATCTCCAATTTGTATTTTTTTACTGTTATAACCTCACTTTCATTTCGTGTATAAATATTTATTTTAAATAGCAAACTATGACAATATGCTCAAACTTATGAAAAAGATATATAAATCATAAACATATTTATATAAAATTTATTTTCTTATAAAAGTTGATCATTCAACAGCTTCTTATTTCTTTGTGTAGAAAGATGGCAAAATATGATGTAACATTTACATATTTATAATATTTTTATTTATGTAAAGTATGTAGTAAAAAACAGTAAAATCTACTTACTACTAATAAATATCGAGTCGGTGTATTGAATGTTAGAATGAAAATATTTTTAATGAGCATAAGCAAGATAACATGTTTAGTAATACTAAATGTGGTAATTAATTATTGAATATGTTTGTACTACTCAGTTAATACATAATTCTTTGTTCAGTTGTTTTAGTAAATAGGGTGTAGTGCATTATGATAAGACACAAAACGCCTCCAATGAATAACCGCATTATAGAAACAAACTGTAATCAAAGTAATTCGTAAATAAATCTACTTAAAAATGTAATATCAATGTTTTATTGTGACCCCTTTTTAATTTCAATTTAAGAAATTTTTAATAAAGTGCCTGCCTATTTTTTTTTCGAAATCATAACGAAAAGATCGTAACAGTATTTGGAAAAGGTCTTATAATTAAGTTAAGAGCGAAGTACAGCATAATATTACTGCTCACAATCAATTCGGTTTTCAACCACGCAAATGCACAACATTTCTTCTATCTGAATTTACCGATTTACAATTTAAATTCATGCTTAAATTCTAAGAAACATGTTTTAGCTCTTTTATTGATTTTTCACGTGTATTTGACACGTTAAATCATTTGAGACAGAAAAAAACCTGTAAACACTGGCATACGTGGACCAATGTTAGATTGGTGTTGAAACTACTCACAAAATAGATCTTACTGCGTTAATGTAAATAATCCCTGTAGTAAAGTTGTTTTGGCTGAGAAGGGAACGGTACAAGGATCTGTGATGGGTCTTCACTTCATCGCCTACGTCAACGATATGAATAACGTGCTCAAAAACTGCACCTCGTACCAGCATGCGGACACCTGTCTAATAGTCGCAGATCATGACATTCGTTCTGCGTTCACTAAAATGCAGACTGATCTCGACAACACATAAATGGCACCATGATAATGATCTGGTCCATAACTCAAACAAGACTAAACTCGTGCACTTAACTGAGTTGCAGACGTTCATGGGCAGCGATGGTTACTTTTCATCAGGTGACCCGTCTGTTCGTCTGCCCCTCTAACATAAAAAAAAAACCTTGCCATATACTTAACAGGACTCGCTATCTCACTGGTTGAGTCCCTAGTATCTCATGAGCACTCATGTCTTCATAGTAATCGTACTAGATGCGAATGTCTCAAGATAGATAATGTAGATAACCACACATCATTAGGCTTAGTTATTGACAGTAAATTCAACTGGGTTCCCCACGTTCACAAAGTCTGTGAGAAACTTAAAACTTTCCTTGCTAACTTGTATATTATAAAAGATAAACCAAAGAGATCTTACAGGACTAGTATCTTGCTATATAATGCCCTTGTTGACTCTGTCATAAACTATGGTATAACTAGTTATGGTAGAACTTATAAGACCCACCTTAATCGCATCCTTAACTTACAAATTAGAACTTTAAAGAAAATCGTCTCCCTCAATATTGAAATTAAATATAAATGCAACGAATGTGAACTTTTTAAACACTGTAAGGAACTTCCGATACACACCAAAATCATTTATAATCTCATTAAAGATTAATTTTTCAACACTAACATCCTTCATGAAATATCTCACAAGAACCTTATTACAATTAGTGCAACTAACGTTTACGGTGAGAGAAATACTCAGTATTTGATTCCTACTGAGTATTTCTCTCACCGTAAACGTTAGTTAGTTATTACAATTAGTATTTGATTCCTCGGCTAATTAATAGCCTAGACCCATCATTTGATCAAAGCATTACAAAACGTAATGTCAAATAAAAATTAAAAGCTTATTTGTTGAACAACCTGTAGATTGGTGCAGATACTTGTTTCAAGACCGGTTTTTGTGGATGTTGATGTGCAGCGCTCGGTCGTGTATTCACTAATGGTGTTCGGTGTAGGTAATGTTCTAATGTTTTTTCATACTTATGTACAACACATTTATGTATGGTGTATTTATGTATGAGATTAATTTACATTCCGGACAAACCCACTGTAGTTTGTGGAATGCTTATTGTAAAACATTGTATTCTTTCGGTGAAAATAATTAAATAAAAAAACAAAAATTTTGAAGTGATAACTTCTTATGGGAGGGTAAACCGCTTCGTTACGTAACGTGTTACGGCGCCAGTCTGTCTGGCTTCCCTATCTCTCACGCATACGGCAGCGGTAGGCAGGCTCCTTCTCTCGCACTCTAACCCATAGCGCTACCCGTATTTCAACATTAAATAGTTCAGCTTAGATTAGTTTAAGTTATCACTTCTGTCGGGCGTCCCGAGAAGCAGACGTTTTTATTTTATTTTATTAAACTTGTGATTAGGAGTAATCCCATTCCTGAAGGATGTAATATGTTTATAGTATTAAGTACAGAAAATAAAGATCAGAGTTTAATAATGTCTATGGGTACACACTATAAGAGACAAATGTTCTTAAAAAACTGGCAACTCTGTAGGAACTTAACCTCTAACTTCTTGCGAGTGAATAGTTATCACTTATCAGTGGCCGGATTCATCTGCCGCTACATAATTTAGTGTTTGAAGTTGTTTATTACTATGAAAGAGGTACATCAGTGTTTCCTCTGTTAATATAAATGCTTAGTTCAAAGAGATAAGTGTAATACTTAAAAGGATCAAATACACACGTGTAGATAAAGTTATCTAAAAATGGATTCAGCAGTGTCAGCTTTTGCTGTGTATAAAAATAATAAATCGACAAATCAAGCTAAGAAACAAAAGAAACGGAATAAATCGAAAGGTCAATCAAGTATACCAAAATTAAATGTAGATGAAATTGCTAAAGAAATCGCTCAAAAAGTTAAAAAGAAGCAGAAGAAGGCAAAGGATACCAAAAACATAATGAAAAAGAAACAACACAAGAAGAAAAAAGCGAAAGGTAAAACCGTAAAAAATAAAACTAAATCGCCGACTGTGGAACTAAAATCATTAAATCATGTAGAACCTGAAGAAATTCCTGTCCTTGTGCACGTGCCTGCGTCACACATGTTTCCTCTAGAATCAGATACAGAAGTTGAAGATGTATATTCTGAGTCAGTTATTTATAATGACACTGTAGAAGCGAGCGAGGTCTCAACATTAGACAGCGATTGCAGTATTGAATTTGTTCCGGTACAGACTGATAGTGTGGAAGAAGGCCTGAAAGTATTTAAATGGATGATCGCTCCTTACGACCTAGACGAGTTTCTCACCAAAGTGTGGGAGAAGAAACCACTGCACATAGTCCGGAAAAAACCAGAATACTATAAGGAATTGATCAGTACACCTTGTATAGACAATATGTTGCGTACAGAAAACGTTCACTTTTCTAAGCATGTAGACATAACTACTTATGTGGATGGTAAGAGAGAAGACCATAACCCTGATGGAAGAGCCTTTCCACATCTTGTATGGGACTTTTACCTGAATGGGTGCAGTGTAAGATTACTGAATCCCCAAACATTCATCCCTAAGGTACATTTGTTAAATGCTACTCTGCAAGAATTCTTCAACACTTTTGTTGGTGCCAATGTATATTTAACCCCTCCAGACAGCCAGGGTTTTGCTCCTCATTATGATGACATTGAAGCTTTTATACTGCAAGTAGAAGGTAAAAAACACTGGCGAATATACAAGCCATTAGACGAAAATGGAGTTTTACCGAGATATTCATCTAAGAATTTTGACCAAAGTGAAATTGGTGATCCGCTACTTGAAGTGACATTACAAGCAGGAGACATGCTCTACTTTCCCAGAGGGTATATACATCAGGCAGTCACAATTGATGGAGAACATTCACTCCATGTAACAGTCAGTATGTATCAGAAACATGCATGGGTAGATTTATTGGAAAAGATGCTTCCGGCAGCGCTGGAAGTGGCTGCCACTGAAAATGTAGAGTTAAGGCAAGGCCTCCCTTTCAATATTTATGATCACTTTGGGGTTGTTCATGAAGATTCAAACACTCCTGTCAGAAAACAGATTAAAGAAGTAATAATAAAACTGTTGGACAAAATTAAAGATAATTTGCCTATAGATGATGTTGTTGACCAAATGCATAAAGATTTTCTACATTCTGCATTACCACCTGTTTTAAATGACACTGAGAAAGCAGTGACAGTGTTTGGTGACTCTGATGTCATGGTAGAAAATGGAAAAGTCATTAATAGGATTGAAATATCTCTCGATACTAAAATAAGATTATTACGTAAGAATATACTAAGGTTGGTTTCAGAATACCATAAGTACATGATATATTACTATGTTCAAAACTCATTGGAACACCATGGCCATGAACAACAATCTTTTGAAATTGAAGGAGATCTCGCTGCTGGAGTAGAAAATTTGATACTTTCATACCCAGAATATATTTCTGTGGAGAGTCTAGAAGTGGACGAAGACTCAGCTAAATTACAATTAGCTCAGGTGCTATATAGTAAGGGACTGATTATGACTGAGTACCCATTGGAAAATGTTGATGACTGAATGACTGAACTGATGAATAAACATTAAATTATATCATAATTTGTCTTACTCTACATGACCCCTTGATGAAGGCTGCACGGACGACGTAGTGGTTTAAGCGGTCACCTCACTGCTGCCTATGCTGTGATGTGGGTTCGATCCCCACATGGGGCGTGATTTGTGTGATCCACAAATTGTTGTTCTGAGTCTGGGTGTTATCTGTGTCCATTTCATGTATGTCTGTAAAGCCCCCCGCGACACAGGATTTATGTTCCTAATGCGTGAGTTGTTTTTTAAAATACAAATACATCCTTCTTAGGTAAAACAACTGCATGGTTTAAAGTCAAGGTATTATCTAATGTTAGTTAATTTATTTGGGAAAATGTAGTTGCAGTAGCAGTAGGGAAAATTTACTGAAATTTCAGTTCACCAAAATCGATTACAAGTATAGAATTTGGCACAGATCTAAGAGTACAAACCTTCACCTGAAATTTAATTGACCCTGTATTTAACATTTCTAAATTCTCTCTTCATTAATTTCAATTTCTGATATGTTAAAACTGCAGATGTTTTATGTGAGATTGTTATAAATGCACAATAAATGAAAGAAATAGCCAACATAAGTATCAGTATGTACTAGTTTTATTTAAGAAAGTAATTTGTTAACTGAAGGTGTCACTCATATTTCATTGTAATAATTTTATGAGTATATATTTTGTGCATGAAATACAATGCTTTTTATTCATATAAACCATTTTCCATTCCACCATATAATCAACAGCCTTTAATAGTAATTTCCTTAAAAAGCAGGTTTTGGCCTACTAAAAGACGCTGGCTAGACAGGTACAGGGTTTGTTTCAAGATTTCTTTCTCTTTGCAGTGCTCTTATCCTGCAGGGTTTGCTCCCTTAGTCAGCTCTTACAGCCACGGGTTAAATAGGGGTGGTGACAATCCGTTTTCTTAATCCTATACCACACGGACTACCACCATAGAATCAATAAGGAGTTTTAGTTAATATCTCCTGTTTTTGTATTTAAACATCTTCATGATCTATTCTATTGTTTCATGCAATCAGTTCCCGATTTGAATAAGTAAATGCTTTTGCTACATCAAAAAACTCATAAAATTTATACGAGTAAATTCCAAGGGTCCAATAATGCTAGCGCAGACTCGAAGCGAATGAAAGCCTTAATCAAAATTTAATAAAATGGTGTATTGTATTCCTTTTTTGATACTGCATTTTAAAATTTGATGCAGTTTATTCTACATTAATTAATGTACCTCCTACGTAGAGATAGAAGTTGATATTATATGATTGTTTATATTTGTACAGTCCATTATTAAGGTATAATGTCTGACAGGCCTGTTGATTAAGTGGTTAGTGATTCTAATTGCTGAACCAGAGGTTGTGGGTTCGATAAGATTGCTTCCTCCATATTACGTAAGTGGAGCTAAAATATGGCTGAATGCGGATGTAGCCCTACCACCACTAAGGAGATAAACGCCTGAGGCGTGGTATCTTGGTTAAAAATGTAAGTTATATACAGAAATTAAACAATAATCTTCCTTAGAATTCTCTTAGAATAAGCAATAAAGGTGAACAGATGAAGCACAATAAATACACTCATGAAATTCTTAAATCATATTTATTTTAAATTGCATATAAATTTGTGGACTTTCTGTTAGAATAGTACTCTCAAACTGATATTTTTTGTATAAAACGCTAAAATTATGTTTTACCGCTATTGTACCAGAGTGCCATGACATTGTCGCAACCATTCGCACCATTTAATTAGGTACAGGTTATAAACAGAAAATACACACACAATAATTTATATTCTAAGTTTAATTTTTCCTCTTTAAGAAATTAACCTATTTAAAAATACCACCTAAAAATTAGGTACTTAGATTTCCTAATGATTCACACACACTCATGCTCGGGACGAGCCGTTATCGATAACAACGTAAGTATAAATGGAAAACAATTTAACAAAAAAAAACGGGGACCCCACCGCATACGTAGTAACAAAATATAGGCATGTAATAACATGAATAATTGATGTTGGTTGCATTTGCTTGCATTGAGCTTGCACTGGAGCTCCACAGATCGTCACTGAGAACAGCATTGATCAAGTAAGTACATAACTAAATGGGAGCTACCAGGGATGTTATGGAGCTCTGTAATCATAACCGGAACTATTGAATACCCAAAAAAAATCTACTCGAAACCGGTAACTGAATCTGAAATAAGTTTCGAAAAGTAGTATAGTAAAAGATAGTTTGATTTATATAGAAACAGAAAGATTTATAAAAAAATTACCTTTCGGTTGCCATGTTTTTTGACCGAGTTTAAATGCCACAACTTATGACAGGTATAAATGTGTGTAATCTTATTACTTTGCATACTTTTGATATTGATTTAATTACACTTAAAGTTGAGCAGCGATAACAATCAGTTTTGTATAAAAACAGCTACGATTTTAGAAGCAAATAACAGCTTGAAATAAAGTCAAAATTGGAAACAGAAACTATCCGAAACAATGGGATTATCCGAAGAACATTATATCAATTTAACCGTATCCGAAACTTAATATCCATAACATCCCTGCTAAATACATCAGAGCTCTTCACGAACATAGAAAATACTCTATTTGCGGTAAATACATTTCATTTAACTATTAGATATTTCAAATTACTTCAACATTAGGCAGTGTTAAATTTATAACATTTGGTATTTGACGTCACAAACACAATTTTTTTGTCGCTTAAGTTTGGTCCAGGCTAGACATAAAGTTGTGAACCTTTTGAAATTCATAAAACATTAATCAAAACGTGGTTGTTCGAACGAATGACAATATTCCACACAAACAGCGACAATACACTTCCCATATCTTAGTTCAAAATAAACACAGTTCATATCAAAATATATTTTTATGTTAAGCGAAAACGTCCAATGATAAAAAACATTTTCTGATAAATTTTAAATTCTTTGTACTGATATACAAGATTTATATCGCAATATCTAATTGAATACTACGCAAAACTTTAGAACTTTTAGCCTAACCTTATTTAACCTATATAAAAAAAATTAAACTTTAAATCTTTCTTAATTTTTAAAGAGGTTAAAAACACCTCGTTGTGTCTTAGAGATGTTTACGCAATTAGGGGCAACCTACATTTAGACGCATTCATTGCTCCGTATTATATCGTGTTTCTGTGTCACAGTACCGAGATAGTAATTATTACTATTATTTAGTAAATTGAACTGTACATAGACAACATAATTTCAGATTTGTTACTTTATAAAATGAACTAATAATCAATAATGTAAATTGTTAAACTAATACTGCGAATAAATGTAGTTCCACCCTTGTTAACATCGTTGGTGTTCGTATTTCCTTACTCGTATATATTTACAGTGTATGGTGTTACTTATTTTATTAGTTATTGTTAGTAAAACTATGTTAACCTGTTAATTCGCTATAACGCGCCACGTCCTTCACTTATACAATATCATTGTGATGTTCCAACCTTCACTTAACTAAACCCATCTTACACTACACGATAATAAACTTACAATTGATTTAATATAAACGAGTCAATCTTCTTTTTATTTTCTAGAACGCGCTTTCCGAGGTAGTCCATTATTATATATCTAAACTCGCAAAAGTCATTTCGTTAAAATATTTTATAAGAATTTTATTGCATTTTAACAATTCCACATAATAGCCACGAATTCTCGATCATGTAGTGTAAGGTCGTGAGACATTTCATTATTGCTCTACAGTTGCCGTTCACGCAAACACAATATTGTATAACTCAATATATCATAATCCAAAATGGCGATACAAAGTGGGTACAGATAACTCACGACAAAATTCCCGCCAAATATGGCGCTCGAACATCAAATTATTATCAAAATTTTTTTCTGTTTATAAACAAGTAACTCATAAAATACAATAAGTATTTAAGTAATAAGAGGAATAGATAAATTGTGCTATCATTTATTGTTACAATGTACTTCACTTTATAATATAAAGAAATATATTTAATGTTAATACACCGGATTCCACCAAAATATAAAATTACAATAAAACATGATTATGCAGATAGCTGGTGACCCACAATAAATATCTTCTAAACAAACTAACCGTTTCTCACTTGTAATTTAAGACTCTTATACCATACGCCATGTCCATTATTGTAACAACACGGACAGACAAAAGGCATATCTTTAACTTAATATTGTGTGAATGTGTTACACCACTACATAGAGAATCTCCCCAATATATATATAGCTGTGTACTTTAACAATACAATAAAAACGGTAAATAAAACATACCCATGAATTTATAGGTTTGTCTTTAACTCATAAGACAAACTAGATAGTAGTTACCAAATATGTGTAATACACATTAATACATATTATGTAATACACATATATTTAGTAACTTCCTTTGCATAGTTGAGTAATTTTACTGTTTGGTAGTTATTTTTAGGCATTTTATAATGAATTTCACTACAGTCACTGTATGTTGCAATTACACTTGGTCGACTATGTTGGTATATTGTACTCGGGTTAGTAATGAGTATGATGTCAAGCAGATCACAGATCGAAAGAGCCATGGCAGTCTCTTGACAGTCTATCCTGTGCCTACATAAAGTTTACTAAATTTAATGTTTGTTTGAACACAGTCTGTGCTCAACCTTTTGTATAAATATTTTTTTATCTGTAACCACGGTAAAATTTAATCAAATGTCGACAAAAGAAAATGTCTGTTCTATTTTTAATCTTAGAAAGTCTCTCGAGAGAGTCTCTATGTTTAGTTAATTATTAGTCAATATAATTAGTCCTACATTTTAAACTGACCCAGATTAATATTAAACTGTAGTCAGCTTGTGATTAAACTACTGTGTACCCGTCTAGTTTAAGTACCAGAAAGACCTTGTGTAATCGCTTAAGTCTGAAACAATCATTAGTTTGATAACGCATTTTGAACTCAAAAGTAATATAATATATTTTAAGTAATTACTGCAGCATTCTGCACACGAGTAAAATTCCAAGTGAGAGTAAAATAGTCCAGCCTTAGTCCACTCCTTCGGGCTCGGGAACTTAGTTTAACGGGTAAGACACTTATAAGAGTACACGGTTGGTCACAAAGTCCGTTGACAGCAGAACTGTCTGTCAGGCCGGGCCGGGAGGCACGACGTGTATTATTTCTTCGCGGGCGGCTTTCTCGGCGTGCGGGTGGTCTTGCCGGTGGACGTGGAGGGTGTCGCCACTATCGGAGACGGTTTGCTTTCTTCAAACAATTAAAACAATATATCATACACAAAACTACTAGTGACAATAGTCACACTTAATGTTAATTAATCCAGTAAAGTGAAATGCTTGTTTTAAGAGGGGGCTCACACCGGTACTAACAATTTACTACCGTCGTTTAAAGGGTGGTCCGTGTGGTGATGGATTAAGTACACAGAGTGTCACCACCCCTATGGTGTCGTAAGAGCCGACTAAGGGAAAAAACTACACAGAACAATAGCACTGCAGAGAGAAGGAAAACTTGACACAAACCCTTTACCAACCCGTCTGGCCAGTGTGGTATAGTAGGCCAAAACCTGTGTCCAGCAGTGGACTAATATAGGCTGATGATGAAAATATACATGAAATTATTAACAAATCCCGACCGTATGGCGTAGTGGTTTGTGTAACGGACTGCTATTCCAAAGGTCGTGGGTTCGGTTCCCGCTCAAGTCAAACATTTATGTGCATGAACATTGTGTATTTATATCAGTTTTCTAGTACCCATAGTACAAGCTCTGCTTAGTTTGGGACTAGATGGTGTTGTATGAATGTGGTAGAATATTATCATCCCTAAAATTTAAAGGCACTTACACATTTTACAATAGAATATTAAGATTACCTTTTACAGATCTTCTACCTTTACGCGTGGGAGTAGCTGCCGGTGTTAATTTCTGTTTGGGAGACGTTCGCTTCGGCGTGCTCTTGGCTTTAGATTTCTCACTCACGGCCGTCGCAGTCTGATGCAGAGGAACATTTTAGTATACACACATGACAATACACACACATATGCAGACGCAGGAGAGAGATAAAAAAAAGACAACTTCTTATATTTTAAATACGGCGTAATTAAAGTGCATAAATGTTTTTTTTAATATTGCCACTTAGATTCTTGCACGATAGCGTTATTTCTTGTTGTGGTTATGACCAAACCCATTAACTGGCTAAATTGTAGTATATTTTCAAAAAGCTGAAAAACGATATTTGTAATTTTAACTGTTCTAGATAAAAACTATTTTATAATAACGATTAGAAATACTTATTTACGGTTGTGAATACAGATTGAATTAAATTAACCAGTTTGGCAATTAAATCGTTTCTTCGGTTAAATTAATGTCTTTCTTGTTAATCGGTACTTAATAACGGTAATATTAAAATTCACTACTTTGATCGAAATGTACATATCGTGACCTGTGATCACGATTAGTACAAGCCACGTACATTTAAATTTTTAACAGAATGAAGACTCAATTTGCGCCTCATCACCGAGCAAGTCTCTAAGTGGTCAATTATCTCACATATTTAAAATATTTACATATCATGCGCCGTTTCATGCTAGATAATGTAAAAAAATAAGCAAATTATAGAAGAAAACAGCTAATAATAGGGGAAATTATATAGTATAAACACAATAAGCAAGCAATGTTTATGAATGAAGATGAATGAATAATATGACAGGCTAAATCTAGAATTTATAGGTTTAAGAAGTTCTTGGTTTATATATCTAGGTTGAAAGTATAGTCGGTACATGCATCTCCTAAAATTCTATACTGGGCAAGGGAAAAATTATTATTAGGAAAAGGTTTGACCCATTCTTCTACCACACCGAGTACAACACTCATTGAATCTACTGTCTTGGAATCTATACATACATAAGTATAGGTATAACCTATAAATAGTACCTATATCTCACACCTATATTTTGGTTCTTACCAAATTGTAGGTGCGAGATATACTTTTTTTTTATAGGTCTCACACATCTTACAAACGGCCGATCGATCCCAAACTTGGCAGAGCCTGCGCTGTGGCAACCAGACAGCTGATAAACATACTTATATATTTTTAAATAGATACATATTATAGATAAATTACACCCAGACACAGAACAAATGTCCGTGCTCATCACACAATATTTGTCCTGGGTGGTCGACCCCACGACCTCCGGTTTAGTAATCGGGGTCACTAACCACTAGACCAACAGGCCCGTCCTAAGTCAGGGCAGAATAAAATCACAGAAGGGACGGAATAAAATTACCTGTAATATAGCCACAGCAATGCCTAATTTACAAAACCACTGCGACCTTATTATACGAGTAATTACGCAAGAGACAGTAAAACCAATCATTTCATTTTATGATTTAAGTAGCAATGATTTCCGTGTTTACTTTACAGAACAATGATTATATGTATACCCTATATACCAGCACAAGTTACATTATTTCGGAATAAGCATGTCACGTCATATGCGTGACGTCACAGGAATTTAATGATTTTTACACACTATCAGACTTCTGCCCAACTTGTCAGAGGTAGTCAAATGGGTCCTATGTAGTGTGAAATCTACTAATGTTCATAATATTTCACTAATATCTAATAAACCGAAGAGTTTTGTTGTTTGATCTACATATCTCTATCTCTGAACTGAGCCAGATTGGCTTGATTATTACTTTACTGACCCTTAGAGTAGAACGGTGTAGTTCAGGGGAACAGCTAGTGTAGTATATCAATTACTTAAGTTTACAAGAAAAAGTAGTAAGGATAATATATTTGTTTTATTCGTTACAACAATATTGATAAACTCGACATTTTACATAGAATAAATTTATAGGTCAGTACCTAGTTCAATAATCTTATAAAGAACATAATCTTTGCACATAGGATATTACAAGGGTACTGAAGTTATACCTTAATTTTAGGATAGTTAAGAACCGTTAAATGTTTGAATGTGGCAATAAGCCCAGAAACTCAATACTGTAGAGTTCATGCAGTCACCATGCATCCCAACCACCCATATATTTTTGTTATAGTCATTTTAATTTTTCTATAAGTAATTTTAAATTTCATAAAAATATTTTTTAGGATTTCTTTTGTTCATTATGTTGCATCGGTCTAGGGTTTTTATTGTCAAATGTAGATATGAAAAATCTACGCAAGCATGTTTGTGTTCCGATAGTATGTATAAGAATTTGTATATTTGTGTTCCGATAGTCTGTATACGAAGATGTATATTTTGTGTTCCGATAGTCTGTTATATATATATTAAGTTAGGATCTTATATTCGTTGTGTAATATTTCACAGAACATTATTCATATCTTGTTACAAATAATGCTTGTATATAATATTACAAAAACAATAAATGGACTTGTATGTGTGTAATGGCGAATGAGTAACGAAAAGAAATCAATACCTTGACCCAAAATAATGCTGACCGTGTGTTACACTGGAATTTTAACTCTCTTTACCACATACTGTGCAAGTATTGTCAAAAACCTTAGTAATACCTACGAAGAATTGGAGAATTGGCTAAAACGGGACTTGTAGCTTACTTTCTTGTACAAATAATAAGTACTTTAATCTATATAATCTTATAAGTTCTGTGTCGTTAGTTGGCCTTTGGAGTGAAAGCTTTAAAAGGTAACTCCGTCTTTAGACCAAAACAGCTCTCAAACAAAAATGGTAAGTAATGTAATAATCTATATATACATATGGATTTTTGACAATATTTACATATCATACAGAGTGTAAGGGAAGTCGTAACGAATACTGAAATAGTGTATTCAGACTATGAATATTAGTCGAAAATCATTGGAATTTTCTGCCGGAATATCATCACTTTTTTAATATAATTTTCCATTTTTTTTTGCTTAAAAATGATATCACAATGAGTAAACAGAACATTTTACCAAAAAAAAATTAAATAATACGGTCAAAAACAGAAATGTAGTTAATCAAACAGCCGAAGCGCGCGGGGCCTCCCCTCCATCCGCCAATTTATGTTACTGTGTGTCGACTGTTTGCACGGAATACACATGTAGTTATTACTTTTGTGCGATACCCACGGGGAATGACCTTATCCTTTGACAGCAGATTGCATAAAAAGTTAAATTTTCCGGCAGAAAATTCCAATGATTTTGGACTCAGAATGATGGTCTGAATACACCATTTCGGTATTCGTTACGACATCCCTTACACCCTTTATAATGGTAAAGTTAAAATAATTAATAGCATGCATAACCAATACAGTAATAAATTCCATAAATCTCTTTCGACACTCCATTTTATAATAATAATACTTCGACCGATCAAACTAATACAACATCACTTTTGATAACACATGCTGTGGGAACGTATGACAGCTCTCATTAAAGAAATTTATTTAGCTACCTGACAACAAATTTGGCTGTTATATATAAGACATATAAACTTTAACAACATAATTCACTTAACATTATTCGAGCACGCGCCTTTTATGCCGTGACTTCGATTCATTCAATAAATATTTATGTGTAATAATTTCTGCTATGGTACTTTCTGGTACGGTAGTACCTGCACCACAAAATACAAGATATTTATTACTAGTACAGAAAACCCACTCTGCAAAAATATTTAAAGAAATAGCGACACAATAGTGCAATAGAGGATGCAACACTATCGACTTTTAATAATTATATTTACATGGAAATTGCTCCTCTCTCTATCATATACCAATGTTAGAAAGAAAGAGATAGACTCTTTCTTTCTTCCGAAACGTGAGTTTTGGTTCTTTATTATAATAGAAACAGTCAAATAAGATGCCGTATGCTTTATTAGCCTTCATTATAATATAACTGTGATATCTATAGGACGATGTAACGCAGTGCCTGTGTATCAAAAATTAATATAGCAACATAAAGCTAAATGAACTACTTGTGAGAATCGACAACGCAATAATCGCAAGCCTTGTTTACATTACAGCTTATTTTACAAAAAATAAATGTCTATATATAACCACAGCCTATCAATATCACAATGTAAGAGCTTGTCAGACATATATCTGTCTCATTTGCACACACAAACAAAGCAGATAACTCCCTACAGCTTTCACACACACTCTTACGCCGTGAATCAATAATTAATCCAAACCCAAGGTATTTTAATGATACCATATTCCTTCAAGAATATGAAAAAAAAATCATTTGACCCATCTTGCTGGTGGAAGTTCAACACTACAGTTGATATCTTGAGGTATCTTCGCGTTGGGATTAATTAGAGATTAGAGGCGTCACTCACTCACACATGAATGTAAATGGCGGTGATGGCGGATACGTACATTTCTATATATCCGGTGTACTATGCCTACCTTGCTTGTGTTCGCCACAGTGGGCGTGGTACCTGCCGATTTTCGTTTGTTGTTTTGCTGTTTATGCGGCGTTTGAGTCTTAGCTTTGCGAGCGCTTTTTGGGTTGCGCTTTGGCGTCGTTCGCGCACGTTTCACGGGCGTCACCGATTCCTGAAACAAATTAATAAAAATGTAAGTGTTTATTTGCATATTTTATTTTAAATCGACGAACTTGGTCTACTTAAGATTAGTCGCAATATGCTTAGCTCTCAATTTTAACCCACAGCAGAGAATACTTAATAGCACACGTTTAGAAAACTCACTCCAAGAAATCGTTTAAACAAATAACGAAACATACAAACAAACAAGTTTATTGAACCATCAAAGTTACATTTTGATAAGTGCTCTGTCTCCTAAACTAGGTTGATTAACCTGTATTTTAGGAGTCAGTGCATTCTTTACAATGGTTATAGTATATATATGAAAGTTAAATAATAGAAAAAAAGAGAGGGGAAAAAATAATTGCATGCATACAAAACAAAAGCAGATCAAGGGATTAACATTAGCATTTTGGTACATTCAAAAGCAAATAATTTTTTTGCTTACTTTATAAATATTATTGGAACAATAAAGTATAATTTTGGTTGTAAGGCCCTAATGTACCTACAGTTATAATCGATTAGATTTTTCTTTTTTTTTAGTGTGTCACAGCAGTGTCATCAAACAGGATGCCATGCTTCAGCATATTATGCCATGGCTTGACGAGAGTGATACCAATGCTCCAATGAAAAAACCAATGCTCAGCAATTATTGCCTTGTTTTTCATGAGTGAGGTGACCCGTGATGATCATTACATTGGCTACAAAAATGCTGACCCTCACACTGTTAAACTAACTGTCGTCTTTGCCGGTTGTCTACTGCGGTAGCAGGAAGGAAGACCCGTCCCGATCGACTTATGGACACATTCAACCACAGCCCAGTGTCGTGGCAAAGCAGGTCTGTGTCTTATTTCTAGAAAAAGACACGGACCCGTTTTGTCACAAACTTTTGTGTCTTACTCAGTTTAAATGTTGACATAAACAATATAAAAAAAGAGTCTTACCTCTGATGCGTTTGAGTTATCTTGTTTGGCTTTAGGCGAAGATTTAGAGCTGTTACGTTTGCGCGACTTCTTGTCCAACTGTGACTCGTCCTTGTAGAGGGACAGGTCCACTGTACAGGGGAGAACTATATCTGAAGTTATTATTTCTGAAGAACTTACAATATTTTAATGCTTAAACTAATTGCCTATTAACTACAAAAGAATAATTACGTATTAGCATACTATTTGGTTTGTAAAAGATAGCCTGTTGAAGCTAGCTTTGGATAATTTTTATCTTTTTTAAGACCTTTTCCGCATAAGGAATAAATTTCCTGTGTCTCGGGGGACTTTCCAAACATTAACGAAACGGACACAAAGAACACCCAGACTCAGAACAACAATTTGTGGACCACACAAAGTGGTGTCCCATGTGGGGATCGAACCATAAAGCACACATTGGTCTAACAGGTCGGCGCGTGCCCTAGCCCACAGCGAGTACGACAAGCGCGGTACGTACGACCGTCGGGGTGCTCCTCGGTGAGGGCGCGGTCGCGCTCGCCCGTGGCCTCGGCCTGGAGCGCGCGCTGCAGGATGGAGCGCGCGCGCGCCGCCTCGGCCGCCCGCAGCAGCTGCGCGCCGCCCGTACCGCGCGACAGCGACAGCGTCGTCAGCACGCACTCCATGTCTGTCGAACGTACACACTTATTAAATAATGAGTACGGATAAAATTAATAGACCTAAAAGCTTGAATCACAGTTTCAGTAAAAACCGTTACGATAGGCTATTTGACTAAGTTTAGAAAATGTTTTAGATTATTCTATACATGATTTTGTACATAGTACATTAAGATTTCCGGGAAATTAGATCTATTTATATTACAAAATCACTATTAAAGTTTAAATTACTAAATCCGAGGCAAAAACGTGCCCTGACGTCACACGCCAGTCACCTATCCAAGGGCAAGAGGGGATGACAAGGCCCCAATATCATGACGTAACGAAATTGACACGACATAAACAAAACAGTTATAAAGTGAGTTTCATTATTTTCCTTAAGATATACTAGATAAAATGGACTATAAATGGACACCATTTATAGTCCATTTTAAATGTAAATGTGTCAAAATGTAAATATACGTCTAAAACTATTTCACATAAACTGTTTGTTTCTGTGCCAACGGATAACAAAAGACGAAAACTGTGTTTACAATTAGCAATACTTATTCGACTTTTAGAAATAAATAAAACACAAAAACAAAAAAATGCGCACTTAAAATCGGTCGACAAAATAGCAAATAAAATCCACAAATTGAGATTGTTTGTTTTGTTCATATCTTTTAATCTATGGTTCACTTTTGACACTTGTGACTATTGCGGTGTCGTCACAGACTTGTGTCCAATCATAGGACGTTTCCGTCCGACATAAAATAAATATATATATTTCGCTAAATTTGCTTAAAAAATTAACCCAATTAGCGTGAAATAAAGTAAATTAAGCTTTTCTATCCTATTATCTAATAGGTGACCATAATTTGGAGAATATTTTAATTTTGTCAAATAGCCTATTCGGCCCAAAAGTTGGCCTACACTATAGTTAGATGTCAACTTTGGTTTAGTACGTGTAAAGTCAAAATTTACGTGTGGTAAATTAATTACATCTTATAAATTTTGCTGAATTGTTTTTAGGTGTCACTCAGCATGTTAACCTCTTGAAACTTTTAACACCGACTTATAATTTTACACAACGCCATCTAGTAGTGTCGAGATAAAATAAGGAATGCATCGTATGACCTTAATGCTATGAATATAGTCATATGCTATACATAGCGTAATAGCTATGCAAAGGAGTAAAATATTAGAAATCTTCTTATTTAGTAAACTAATTCATGGGTTGATCTGGGCAGCTTACAAAAAACTTACTTACAATAAGAAGCTGTACTTTCTTATTCTAATGGACAATATGACGACTCCTCTATGTATGTTAAGTGAGTGGACTAAATACTCATGACATCTTTGACTGATGAACCTAATTTATTAATTACGGTATTTTACGGATAGCAACGGCATTGTCAGACGCCGGTGGTTGCTTTACCACTTGATAAAGATCTCCTGTCATGCCAAAAACTAATCAAGCATCAGCAAAAAAATCGTATATCTTTAATAAATGTGAATACAACTGACGAAAGCCTTTGTTTTACTAAGATTCCAACACACCTGTTGTGTCATAGAAGTCGGGTTTGTATGTTTCTCCAGAGGGGTCAGAAGCTTTGTCTTGTGACAGCCAGCGGATTTTGATCTTGCGCGTGGTACGGTACACATTTTGCATAGCTTGACATACGTAGAAGCCTCCCTCGGCGTTGCGCACCGCCAAGTATTCGTTCCTAGGAAGTATAAATATTATTAAATTATATTGAATAGCTATAACCTTATAACTATATAATTATCTTGTTATAATATCATTAGCACATACATTTAAATGTTCTAAATAATTCAAATCATGGGCGTCACATTCCTTTTTAAGATTTACAAATTTCTCCAGACTGCATAATTTATAACATTTCATATAATTATATAATGATGGCTCCATTATCTAGTAAAAAATTTGTTCTACGCAAGATAGTTTCACCTCTTTTTTTTACTGGCAACTTTGAACTTTCTACTAACTTTCTAAACTATAAAAATTCAATCAATTTCGTTCCTATTTTTTCAAATATATATTTCATTACTTCTGGAATTAACGCGTTTTGGTTGCATTGGCCCTGGTCACAGGCACCTTTTACCACGGTCATTATAGCCTAATCAAAACTTATGTCACTTATAATCACATTAATTCCTGAAGTAATAAATGTTATATTATGGAACGGGAAAGTTTAAAAGATAGGTAGGGTTACCACACTTACTTGTAAAAGACAATCAGTTTGTCATCATTAGGTTTAGTCGGAGTAGAGCGGCCCGCAGAAGCTGACAACTTAGTAGCCATGGCCAGCTCTGGAGTTGGAGACTGGTACAGCTGCACCTGTGAATTTACAGATTAATTACAAATAATTCACCAAGGAGGTAATCAGAGTTACAAAAAGAGGTGAGTAGATAACTTAAAACTCTGTGATTAGATATGATAATAATATATGTATATTGTAAAATTAGTTAATTTAGGACAAAATAACAAATACAATTTCTTTTTCTTTTAAGTTTTTTTATTGGTATAGGTAGCAAAACAAAAAAAGAGAAGAACTACAAATGAATTGTTTAACAGGTTTTCTATGAGGCAATGAGTCTCTCAAGTTTCTTGAAAAACGAAGTTAAACTATAGGTTGGTGGTCTTGGGAGGAGTGGGTTTTCAAAATACCTAGCTTAGTTACAAAGGCGGAAGGAGCGCTTAGGCTTTCGTCACGTAGTCATTAAATTAAGCCATGTTTGTGAATTCACTAGAACTAGAGGGGCGGCAAGGAGTCTTGTCATGTACTAAAGATCAAAAAAATGGGTCAGGTAGTATAGGTTCGTTACCATACAGCATTACGTAATATAAAAATGTTTAGTATATACCGCTATATACTTTTATAAAAAAAACAATGCAGGTAAATAGGTATAATATTTTCCAACCTCGGTGTTAATTTTTGACCTGAAAAAATTACACATATAGATCATTTTCCAACTTTAACTGTGTAACCCAAAATGTTGGTAACACGTCACCGCAAGTTACTTGATAAAGACTTCAAGATTAATGATAGTAATTATGAAATTGTTAATTATGTTTGCCTAAGATAAATCACTGAAGTTATAAAATAATAATTATCGGTCATAGACATGACACTACTCATCGATTATTAGCTTAAAATGACAAAATATTACAAATCGAACACAGTGTTTTCAACGTAGCTGAGAGGCGGGAAATTGTCGGGAGAAATGGCGGGAAGTGCTCGGCTCTAAGCCTTAGAGGAATAGAAGAAGCATTGTCACATGTGCATTATATCCGAGGGATTACATTGAACGACACAAAATTATTATTGATGAATAAACAATTAGATTTTTATAAAAATGAAATTAATATTTATAAAATTACTTCTAGCCTGTATTGACCAGTGACCAGACTGCTGATAAAGGTACTTAATTGGACCTGGAAATCATTGCTACTTTTAAATAATATTCATTTGACGAAATGATTGTTTATGGTCACAGATTTTAAGTGTGATTGTGATTTCGTCATAGACAAAGATAAAGATATTAAAATCAATCAAAATTCTTTTTATCAAAGATTACGAAGTGTCTTTTATAGATTTAGACAATTCGCGAGTCTTGCGCTAGCGTAATAATAATAATTCAGTAACAGTGGTTTTGTAAATCAGTCGCAGTTGAGATGATATGATTTATGAATCATGATATATCACATGTGATTGTGACTTTATGCCATCCGTAGTACTTATATTTCTACCGACACCGAACTAATGTCCGTGATTATAACCTTAAATCATTTGTCCTTGGTGGGAAGTCACCAACACATTTTATATATTTTGTAATTAAAACGAGAATGAAATGCTTTACGGATGGTTTAGAGAGTGTTAATGATAGCTTGAGCAGGTCAACCTGAGCGACTTCAGATAATGTAGTACTACTCAGATAAGAACTACAACAAATTAATAATATATAATATATTTTACTACATTCACACAACGCCGTCTAGTCCCAAACTAAGCAGAGCTTTGTACTGAGTACTAGACAACTGATATACATACATATATACTTTTTTTTTGTAAATACATACATATTATACATAGAAACACCCAGACCTAATCAAACATCAAATGTTCATGCACACAAATGTTTGACTTAAGCGGGTATCGAACCCGCGACCTTTGGTATAGCAGTCCGTTACACAAACCATTACGCTATCCGGTCGTCGTAATTGGTTAAGAAGAACGGACTGTAGGCGCCCGGAACTTTTCCGTGCTTCAGGATTTTTAATAGCAGTTTTTAAGTAGGCAGCTCGCTTATTATATTCATAAAGTAAATAAAAATGGCAAAGGAGAGCGTTTTCTGCTTAAAATACACGTAGTCTCCCAGTGGTATCATCTTTTTCGAGATACGTTGGCAAAAACGTATTTTTTTTGTGCTTCACAATTTTATTTTTTTAGGAATGGAGGGCAAACGAGCTGAGCGGTCACCTGATGGTAAGTGATTACCGCCGCCCAGTCAAATCAAGAGTACAGGTTCGTTGCCGCCCTTTGTGCTCTTCACCGCTTGGGCTCCGGTAACCTCACTCAAGCCATGAAAAGCAACAAACGAATTGCTATTAACAGCAGTTTTCCGAACAGCTACGTTTGTAAACCAGTTAAGGGGTTAAACCTGTTCGGCATATGTTGTTATTAGAGACTTATAAAACCAGTTTAATTGTAATAAATTTTATTTTAGTTTTTGTTGTTAAAAGAAAGAAAGAGACCCCAGGATCTTGAAACACGATCCGTCGTCGTGTGTCAAGATCTTTCGTTCGTTCAAATGAAAGGTGATGATCTGTGGGGTCTCTACATGATAAAAAAAAAGATTAAATAAACTTAGTATAAAATAAAGTCACTTTTTTTTCTTGTATAGGTATGTATCAGAGATTTAAAAAAGGGGATCAAAGCGGTCGTCGGGCCGTACGTCCTTCCCGGGTGGCAGTGGCTGGCAGGACCGGAGCGGGCCTATCAGTATTGTTAATAAAGATGTCCTGTAGTATAGTATATTATGACAACATAATAAAAGTATCATTAATTACCATACACTGACACTACAATCGTAGTATCTACATTGCACCCGTGCGCAGACGGGGCAGATCGCTGGTAATGTATATTCTGCTCAGGTTAGTTCTATCAAATTGTAAATTCCCACATATAAACACAAACAGGTCAGCTGCCTTGAATCCACATGATCCAAAGAAATGTTATAAGCAGACATATTTTCTTTCAGTACATTATAACCAAGTTTTTTTCATAGTGACTAACCCTTATTCTATTCAAATGGGTAGACAAAAAAACGTTTGTTTAGATACTGAGTACCTGATTTAAAAAAAAAAAAGGTACATACAATAATTATAGAGTCCATGGTCAAATAGCATCAACAATCTTTTTTTGTGTACTTAACCAAAAAATTTAAATATCTGAAGGTTGCCTAGAATAGCTTGCATTTAGCTATAAGACCACTATTTGTACATTATACAGTATATAGTATTGTAATAATGGTGTACAAATATAGAGTTGTAAACAAAATGCCTATTAATTATAATACGACTAGCGATCTGCTCCGGCTTCGCACGGGTGAAATGTAGACACTACTAATGAGGTATCAGTGTGGAGTAATTAATTATACAATTATTTTAATAAGACTATTTTACAGGGCATCTTATTATACAATATTTGTAGGCCCGCTACACTCCTGCTGGCCGCTGCCACCCGGGAAGGACGTACGGACGCAGCGACGGCGGCTTTGTCCTCGCATTTTAAAGCTCTGATATCTACCTACTAAGTTATTCATTTTAGTGATATGCTGTAAAAGGCAATTTTGATCTACATTAAACGTATCTAAAGTATTTATTTGGATAAGGAATAATACTGTAGTGTTCAAATAGCAAATTACCCATTATTTTTTGTAAAATGTAAAAAATAAAAATGGTCACTGTGGGTTTTCCTTATGAGATAGACGTGTACCGTCGTGGATCTTTTTAAGATTTACATTGGGGTTGTACATTATTTTGATCTATTTCGTTAGGTTTAGCCAGCATTTGCAATGTAAGTGCACAAAAACATGTTTTTGACGACTTTACATTACAAATATTCTCGGATTTTGTCTACTATAATGTGCATGTATGATACATATACACCTGCCTCTTGAATTTCTCTCTCTATTGGTGAAAACCACATTAAAATCTGTTATGTAGTGAAAAGTTGAAAGATTTAAGTGTACAAGAAAAAAAAAGCGACATCACTTTATACTATGTAAAGATATGTATATAAATAAGAATGAGTGTTTGTTTGTTTGTCCGCTATACATCCTGAAATCTAGGGACAGCCACAAGAGTTCCGAGCCGCAATTTTTTTTCATCTGAATAACTGTTTTTTTCGTTACTTGCAACACATGCTGGATCCAGCTAGTATTTCGTGCTCATGGTTGACGTTTAGATAAAAAAAAATATAGATTAACGTACACAAAGTCACCTAACTATTCAACTTGTTAAGCTATTGTTGTATGTAGAAAAAAGTTTAATAAAAAAAACAAAAGAGGTACTATCAAGTGATAAGCCCTTGCCACTTGTTGAATATACCTGAGAAGCAACATGTAGCTGGTAAAAAAAGTATATTTACAAATTGGTTGGCTTAGTTACCAGAAATAAACTGAGAACTGGAATCTCTTTAACTGGGTAAAAATGTGATAAGCTCTAACTTACACTCAAGACAAATAAAAGTGTGATGAGCATCTTCAGTGTTTTTTTTATTTAGTAATATTTAAGTATGTTTCAGCAGTCTGGTCACTACAGTACAGGGTCTGCCTAGCTTGGTATCAATTGTAAAGTGTCAAGTTACTCAAATTTTTTTTTTTGTTTATGTTAAGAGTTGGTGAAATGGCTTTAACTGCTATATATTTTTATTCGGAAAAAGTTAAACAGGGAAACCTATTTTTCTAAATATTGAATGAAAAGGATAGTTGTAAGATATTTTTTTAATTCTTTCACTTGTTGCTTAAAGCTAACTTTGTGGTCTTTTTTTATACTTTGGTGGCACAATGGTACTGTATGTGACTACTGTTCTGAGGTCTTGGGTTCAAATTACTCTTCAAATTGGTTGGGTTGGGTTTACTCTTCAAATTTTTGTTTCAAAGTTTTGGTGTTTTTTATGTATAATATGTATTTAAAAAAAAAAAGTAAATAAGTATTCTATCGGTCAATCTAGCTTTCATAGTATACAAGGTATGTTTAGTTTGAAACTAGATGGTGTTGTGTGTTAGATGTCTGTAATAAATACTGTGTAGTGTAAGAACACTTTTGATATTAATTTATAATAAATCTAATATATATTAAAAAGAAATACAAACCTTTGTCCTATTTCTCTTTGTTCTTGCATCAGGAGTAGAGTCACCATCAGCAGGTTTCTTGGCTGGACTGACACCATCAGTTGACTTGCTAGGAGATGTTTGGCGTCTCTTTCTCATTGGAGTAGTCACTGTTGCCAATTTCAGAGTAGGCTTGGGTTTAGACTCAGATTTAGCAGGTTTTGGTTCAGGTTTCTTTTCCTCTACTTTCTCTTCCACCTTCTCATCTTTATCAGCTTTTTCGACAGGTGTTTCCTCTTCTTTCTTAGGCTCTTCAGCCTTCCCTGGTTTTACCTCCTCTTTCTTTTCTTCATTAACAGTTGAGGATTCAGGTTTCAATTCAACTTTAGCATCCTCTTTTTTTTCCTGTACTTCAACACTTTCAGAAGGTTTTGCACTTTCAGCAGGAGACTCAGGTTTGGGTGTGGGTACCTTTTCTTGTAGTTGACTATCATTTGCTGATTCTGGCGTTGGCTTGCTGTCACTTTGTGATGGTGCTACATCTGCTGTTGGAGCTGGTTTCTGTTCAATAGTTGCTATTGCAGGTGATTTCTCTGGAAGTTCATTTGCTACAGCCACTTTTGGTTGAGATGGACTATCAGCAGTACTAACCACATTTACAGACTCAGGTTTTTGAGGAGTACTCGGAGCACTAGATAGCTTTTCAGGAGGTTTTGGTGTGCTTGGAGACGATTTAGCAATGTCCTGTTTATCTTTATTAGATTCAGGGTTCTGAGGCTTCAGTGTTGAGGGGGCACTTGCTCCAGACTTGGGAGAATCAACAGTGCCATTAGACTGACCAGTGGAATCAGGCTCAGTCTTCTCCGGTGTCCTTGTAAGTGCAAGAGCTTTCTCTTGGACAAGGCTCAGTGGTGTGTTGGCGTTACCACCTTTGGTAGGACTTGCAACCAAGTTTGAAGGTCCTACAGAGTTCTGGGTAACGTGAGAGAGGTTGCCATGGTGACTCATATTTTGTGCCATTTGCGCCATGTTAGCAGACACGGGAGCCATGGGAGGCGCTGCGTGCCCTAACGGAACAGGTATCGGCGCGGGCGCGTGGTGTGTCAGGTTCTGTACGGCGATGTTGTTGGAGGCGTGATGTAGAGAGTTTTGAGCACCTTGCGGATGTCCCACTGCGTGGTTTGCGTTGGCAACGTTCCCCTTAGCAGGGCTCGCCTGACCGCCCGGCTGCACAACTCCCGGCTGAGGCAGCACCGGCTTTAAAGCAGAATTCATTTCAAGTGCGTTCTAATACGGCGAGTATATGTCTCAGCCGTACACAAGCTGAAACATAAAGTTATCCGAGTTTACGATACTGTTTTCATAACAGGTTAACACACCGCGATGTCTTTGACCCACAACAATAATTCATACATAATAAATGTATATGCAATACGCGCGTAAGAACGCGGGGACCGCTCTTACCCGCCTTGTGAGGCCGCTTATGGTATGGCGCTAATGAAAAGTGAATATGTAAGATTGGAAAGTTACCACTAGTTGTAAAAGCAACAAACGCCCATGAAATAAGTCCTGGAAACCGAGCTAAGGCTGTGATAGCCGCAAAAAATATGCGATGCTATGCCAAGAAACTTCCGCAAGATATGACCCGCCGTTGCCGAAGTTGCTGTGATGTCACTGTCTTGTTTAGTCACTGTAAACGAACACTTGATCTCACTCGCGACTCTGTAATTCCATGTTTTATTCACACATTTTATCACGAATTAGCATTCACTTTACTCTAGAACAAGTACATAATAGGCACAGTAGTTTCAGAGATGGCGTCGGCATAACGCGCATGCGCCACCCTCTTGTGTTCTCCTCCAATGAAATCCCGTGACGAAACAAAGAGTAAACGACTGTTTCCGATATGGCTATCTTTCTTGCTCTTGTTGGTCCTGAACGAAGCCATTGCATTCGGATGCGTTCGAATTCTGATGATACATTTTGTGTTTCTAAAATGAACTTTGCATTTTAATTTTTCTTTGATCTTAACCAAAAGGGTTAAGATTGAATGTATGATAATCTTATAAAATTAGAAAATATGTAGAGCAATCATTATAAGATATTTATTATTTTGATTAAAATGTACACATGCGTTCACAAATTAATAAACAAATTTAGGATCCGCCATCTTAGTACTATAATGAATATTATAATTTATGGGAAGTTAAAAACTAAATTGATGGATAAGGTATCCAATTCGTGTCTTATTGTCTTTAGATGGAAGATTATAGTAAATCCAAAAAATAATACACTACTGTGGTAAAAATATGTTTGTGTTTCAATTCGTTGGTTACAATAATTTCGGTTTTGAAATCAGATTGGGTGAATTTATATTTAATTTTATAATTATAAATTGATAAAGAAATCACTAATTCTCATTTACGCCTCATTTTCCATACGCCAAGTAGTTTTAATGTGAAATACCTAATTCGAAGCAGGGTGGAACCGACTGTTGGCTGCTGTGCGTCGCCGCTCTATGTGCATAGTATAATATTAACTATTCAGACTAAAATGATGAAAATGCTTGATTTCCTCACATTTAATTTAACGTGATTCAATCAGTTGGTTTTAGGGTTCTAAGATCACCTAGTAAACATGATAGTCCTGAATGGGGTAATTTGACTTCACATAAGACAATTTAATTGCAAATCTGTCCAGCCATTCGAAGATCATTAGATATGTATAAATATAAAAAGTTAATATTTATTAATTGGTATATTTTTGTTATTTAATTTGTTTCAAGTTTCAAGCGTTAATGCAGTAAACTAAAACCGTTCCTTTGTGGTTGTGATTACTGACCTCTAATCTACAAATACGCGTTCCTACTTGTAAAATAGAGGTCATTGTTCATGACTTACTCATGAGATAGTTTGATTCCAAATCTGTTCAGCTGTTCGAAGATTTTCAGATATGTATAAATGTAAAAAGTTAATATTTTTTAATTGGTATATTTTTGTTATTTTATTTGGTCCAAGTTACCCGCGTTCATGAAGTAGAATTCAAACCGTTTCTTCGGTGGTTTTGACCGTTATCCTCTAATTTACAAATCGCGTACCTATTTGTATAATAGAGGTCAATCAGTGTTTTAGTTCTATAGTCTTCTTTCAGCTTTTTTGTTATCTGACAGTAAGCAAAGTTGTTAAGTAAACGAGAATAACTGACATCTTATTAAAGTTTTGTTGTACCGGCACATATACTTTTACTACTACTCTATGTATGAGCCGGTAGATGAAATGGAACGTACCTGAAGTGTGAATGTGAAGACATTTTCAGTTCAATGTCCCATGTGCATTATTTATGAATATTATTGCTGTTTTTTTTATTCAACATTGGTGACAGAAATTTTAAACCAAACATCCGTGCAAATATTTTATAATGGTAAGGACGGTGTTAAGCATATTAGTTTATAGCTCTAATAATACTCAGGAAATCATAAGTTGTGGCTAGGTGCATGTTTTATTATTTGATTTTTTACCTCAATTTAGCTGAATTATTCTTTCATTTGCAAGTATGATATGTTTTAAAATTCACCAAGAACCTTAGGGATTGGTTGTAAATTACAGAACATTCTAGATATACGTAATATAAGTTTTTAAGATGTAAATATAATACAAATTATAGGACGTGTTGTCGAGACCCGCTGAAGAGTTTGCAAATGATGAAACACTGGAGCGTTTATGGGCAGCAAAGGCTATGGAGCATAGTGATATATATTTCAATGTAAGAAACCATCAGTTATTTCTAGGTATAGTTTTCGATGTTACAGAATGCATAACAGCAGATACAATACCTATGATTTCAAACAGACAATGTTTTTGTGTTATTAATACACATAACTGTGTATGAATGAAACAATGTCAGTAAACATAACTGATACTATACTTTATGTTAGATGGTGGTTGAATTGGATGTGTGGTATTTAATTTCCAATTAAAATAATATCTTTGTAGGTTAGGTTAGGTGTGTAGTAATGTGTTACTTTAAATTTACGATATTTGCTAACAGAGAGTTAGTAAATAAAGATTTAATCTATAACATAAAGTTCACACTTACTATAGTTACCTAAAGTTTACCTGTACTATGATACAATATATGATACAGACTAATATGACTATATGATATGACTAATATATACATGTAATATGATACAGACTGCTGATAAACATATTAGTGAAAAATTACACCTAGACGATCCTCACACAATTACTTATGGTGGGTGAGAATCAAACCCATTACCTCTAGCTTAGTAGTTAGGGTCCTAACCACTAGATCAACAGACCAGACCAAAAACATAAAATATATTAGTACATTTTCTTTTTTTTTTTTCTTTTTTTTTTTTCTTTCTTTGGATGTACATCATCACATCAACAGCCTTTAATAGTCCACTGCTGGACATAGGCCTTTTCTTGGAAAAGAGGTTTTGGCCTACTAAACCAGGCTGGCCAGACAGGTTGGTACAGGGTTTGTGTCAAGTTTTCCTTCTCTTTGCAATGCTGTTATACTGTGTAGTTTGCTCCAAGCCATGGGACACCCACAGGATGTATAGAGATGGTGACAATCCGTATTCTTAATCCATCACCACATGGAAAGGTTCTATGCAAAATTTATTACATAACATGTAAAAAATGTTGCTTGCACTGTAAAAATTTGTAAGATCTTTTCTTTTTAAATAAGATTTCATAGCTTACAATAGGTTCATCTTGTATGTTGATTATACTATAGTAGAATTATTTTCTCCGTGCAGTTTGGGTCATAAACCATAGCTCGGCCCCGGCCCGACTAGGGCGGTGAGCATGTTGCGCGGGCGCAACGCCATTATCGATAAGAACAAATGAGTCATCAAAGGCAGGTACACGGCGGCGGGGCGGTATACAAAGGTGGTGAGACATTGTTATGTTATGAGTCATTTGTTGTTCCCCACTGCTCAAAACTTTGAGTAGAGCAGTAGAAAGAATTGACAGATTCACTAACCCAAAAAATGACAAAACTAAATACACTATCGATAACGCTTATCGCCAACAATAATGCGCATCACTATGCCCGCCCATAGGGCTCGTGAGTGGAAGAGAGAACGAAATACTCGCTTCACCGCTCCGACTATTTATGACCCAAACTGCACGGAGAAAATAATTCTACTATAGTGTATTTGATTGCTGTTACTAAATAAATAAAGTTATTCGTCTGGTGATTGATGATTGATGAGATTGCATTTTTGTCACTTAGATTGTTCAAATTTAGTTCCTTTATGTTCCAGATGTTATGCTCAGTTGACACAAGATGGTTGCAACTTACCCCTCATGATGATCTGATATACACACATTTCAAGCAGGATTTTCCAGACTTGGATGTCTCATACATTAATGAAAATGAAATAAAAAACAGCGTAAACAAAGCAAAATGGAGAATATTCTGCGAAAAGTTTAAAAACATCATAGAGGACTACAGTTTTGGAACTTTAATGCGAGCTGATACTAAAGGCGACTATTCTGAACAAAATACGATGTTGGTTCCTAGAGTACAGTTTTATGCGATAGAAATTGCTAGAAATAGGGAGAGTATGAATAATGAAGTAAAAAAACTGTACAAATGTACAGCTAAACCGACAATAGAAACTCAAGAACATGCCGCTAAAATTGTCACTTAAACGCAAGCACTGCCACAGGCTAGTTTTGACAAGAAAGTTTGTCTCTGAAACAGTTTGAAATTGGACATTGGAGTAGTCATGTGCAATGAAACAGAAACGAACATGGGTACGAAATAAAAAAGAAACTTGTGATATTAATTGAAGTAAAATGATTTGTGTATTTTTTTAAAGACTAACTAGATATTGAAAGGTCTGTGAAGACACTTTTTTTTCTCTAAATAATTTATGTAATGTGAAGTTAATGAGAGAACCATGGCAGCCAAAGTTATAATTTTAACAATACAGCAGTGTTAATCAGGTTTTCTGTATATTAATTGTTGGAGTGATAATAATGAGCTGGATACTAGTTTCCATATCCGTGCATATCCAAAAGAGTAAAACGATCTGTGTTTGTTCATATCGTTACATTTGGATGGATGAATTTGATTTTATTAGGTTTTTTAAATTCAAGATTCATTATCATCAGCCTATTGCACCGTTCATTGCTGAACGAAGGCCTCTGCCAAGGAGCGCCCACCATTTCAGTCTTGGGTAGTCCGCATCAGCATCAAAATTCTAGATTAATTTTGTTAAAATTATGTATTTTATTATCTTATGTAATTAGTTACTCATAATGTTAACAGAGTACTATTTTTCTATCTTAATCAAATCTAAATGCTTGTAATATTGTTATGAGGTCTTATATTAGAGGCCTATGTCCAGTAGTGGACTATTCAAGGCTGTTGTTAATGATGATGAATTATTTGCTAAAATATGTTTAATGCGATTTTTTTTTAAATGTTATTTGATCCTCTATATTGACTGACATCACCTGTTAATAAAAAACTTGAGATTCATAATTATTACCATGGATATTTCCCTGGTATGCTAATAATCCGTATTGGTATCCATATCCATTTGTAACGATCTGTCACTTCACTAGTAATATAGTACTCCACACATATGTACATATTTTATCATTTTATCTTTTAACAGATGGATGGATGGCTTAATACTATAATACGTTTAAGGAAAGCTCTTCTTGTGCAAACTAGCCAATAACATAAACAAAATAAACTTTCTCAAATAAATTATACATAGTCTGTAAAATTTATAAAATAATCATTTTTAACGTTAATACTGGCCACATAGTGTCATGTTAGGCAGTAGCCACCGTCCCTAGTTATGAAACATTTCTAATATCTGCTTAAGACTATCATTGTAGAACCACATAATCAATTATAAAATTTACTACATAGGTACTACAAAATATTTAGAGTTATACTACGTTTACAAAAACAACTTTTAATGTTAAACAAAATATGAATGTTACTCAGCCGAATGAATTTATTAGAAATTGTTTTTGTAAAAATTTACACCTACCGAATAGTAATTTGTGATTGTCTTAATTGAAAAATGAATGAGGTGCTGTATTGCTCATACATTTTTTATATTAAAGTTTGTACTATAGATTTTTTTAATAGTTTAATTTAAAAGCACATGTGGGTTACTTAATGCATTTATTTTGTCATAAATTTGGGTAAAGAATCTTAACGGATAGAAATGGACCTAAGATGAGGCCTTGTAGGACTCCTACCAATAATAGCGAATTGATGTTTGTATTATAAAGTCAAAGGCCTTATGTAAGTCCATAGAGAACAGGCTATCTGGCCAACACGATTGTTTAACTGAAGAAAAATTCCGGAGCCCTGCTGTGGAGCAAAATAAGACTGCAATTTTTTTTGTAATTTTCTAAGGTTGCATTGAAACCATGACTTCTAAAAAATAAGAAATGTCTAAGATAAAAAACAGGAATCTTAGAGCTTCAAAGTGATTTTTTACGGCGATCAACTATATGCTGCAACAAACTGAGAATTGATCAGGAAAATTGAGATTATAAGGCAAGGTAGAGAAGCAGAAAATTATGAAAGAACAAGAATATTAATTAGACGTATGGGCAGGTAGTGAAAGCAGAGGGCCAAGTGCGAGTTTATTTCACTTGTACTCGATCGTCACGGTGACCGCGTTGGGCGCTACGATTGGCCCGCACTGAAAACTCCACCAATCGCAACGCCGATCGCGTGCGCTGTCGGGAGTGAGTTGATGTAAAATAAACTTGCACTAGGCCCTCAGTTTATTGCAGGGCAGAACGGGTCCTCTCACGGGATATAATTTATTTTAATTAATTTAAACTTTTTTGGTTTATCTTGCGACGGTACGGCATGTAAAGCCATCACGATGAACAAGCAATTCTATTTTGCTTCCAAGTCCCTCTAAACTTCAGAGAAACTTGGAAGCCTTTAGAGTCTAAAGGCTTGCACGTTCATTTCTTAAAAAATGCCGTGTGTCGTATCACCTCGCTTTAAGAGGACTTCCCTAACCACAGCCAGTATCAGAATCGTAGAACGACTAAAGAGTCGTTCTACGATTCTGATATTCATCCTGGCCTCTGGCCATAATGAAGGTAGGGTGCAATCTAAAGAGATTGCACCCTACCTTCATTATGGCCAGAGGCATAAAGTTTTTGAAAAAAAAAAAAAAACTTTGTACCTGTGTTGTACCATTAAAACTTATCATCAAAAGAAAATATATATGCGCCTTGAAGAAAAATAAAGCAATCTATCTACTGTCGGGGCTCAATTGTGCTTTTTAACATAAACGAGGCAACAAGACAAAATTAATTAATAAATGGCTGCTATTTTTCTATATTTACTTATCAGTAACACCCGACTTAAAAACATATCCATTCTATTTCTTGTAATATTAACATTAACGGTTCGCGACCTAAGGTACTTTATGTTATAAAAATATAGATAGGTAATTAATATACCTAAATTTTTTTTTTATCCATGTGTAAAATACACTTCACATCTTAAATATAGCGCTTTTAAGCAACTGAAATAATATCTTTTCGATTAGTGCTCAAAACGGCCGCCTTCATATCACTGACCATAGATCTTCGTCCCTGTAATTCCTTTTTTAAATTTAAATGTAAGAGGAAAAAGTGGCTAGGAGCTAGGTTAACTTACTATAATGTGGGTAGTCAACTTCTGTGAATACCCTGAGTTTTTAAATTTCTCTTCCAACCCTAAAGGTGTCTTGCAGATACAGCACTTTGCGTGCCAACATGTCACTTTTCACGTGCTCAGGAAATTAGCCTAACACTGACCATTCACGGTACCCTTAGTCTATATAGTAATCTATTAATCAAATTCCCTCGCTATTCCTGATGACAGTAGCCATAATCTTCGGAGAAGACTAACAATGATTTTATTTCTTTTCTCCCTTACAATATAGTTTATACAATGGTTACGATGCGGTAAAAAAGTTCATCTAAATGGGGTTAACACGAATCCAAAATGTCATTGCAAACCTCCTGTCGTCGCTGTTTATCGATCCACAAAATTGTTTTCAATTGAAATTATTTATGTTATTTTTTTCTAAGCAATTCTTTAACTAGCCACTAATAATTTTATAATGCTTTGGTAATTTTTTTCGATAACGACAGGCGCAGCGACTCAGGCCCCTGATGTCTGATGTTGTTGGCGGTCGTCTGGGCGGGGGTCGTCTTCACAGGTTCTGCTTATTGTTACCTGCCGAGCATATCTTTCGCCATCGTTAATGCAGGTGCAGAATCTTGAAGAACTGATGACGTATAATATTGTGTGATGAGCACGGTTATTTCTTCTGTCCGGGTGTAATTTATCTACAATATGTATGCATTTAAAAATAAATAAGTATGTTTATCAGCAGTCTGGTTACCATAGCACAGGCTGTCTTGTTTGGGATTAGACGGAATAATGCCTCGCACTACCAACCTGTGGAACAACTTATCGTCTGCGGTATTTCCGGACTTATACGACCTTCAAACTTTCAAGAAAAGAGCGTACTCCTTCCTCAAAGGCTGGCAACGCGCTTGTGACTCCTGAGCTGTAGGCGTTCATGAGCGGTGGTAGTTGCTATCTATCAGGTGACCCGTCTGCTCGTTTGTTCCCAATTCCATAAAAAGAGACGGTCATGTGTAAGATGTGTGAGATTTATAATATTATAAATCTTTAAGATTTTTTTTTTTTTTTTTTAAAGACAACTCCCGCATTAGGAATAAATCCTGTGTCGCGGGGGACTTTACAAACACATGAAACGGACACAAAGAACACCCAGACTCAGAACAACAATTTGTGGATCACACAAAGTGTAGTCCCATGTGGGGTTTGAACCCACAACACTCGGCGTAGTAGGAAGCTGCGAAAATTTAATCATAGCGGGGCTACAAATTGCAAGAAATTCAAGTTGCCGTTGACTTGTTATTATTGTATGTACCAGGGATGAAATGGTAATGATCCAAATAAAAATGCATTAAAAAATAGATGTTATTTATTCCAACGATGTGATTCATTCATTCATTCAAACTTATTCCTTTTTTTGTTATATATCCGTACGTATATATTATAATAAAAATCGGTTGTCTGTAAAGTCGGTTTACTGACGATAGTTGAACGTGACAACGTCATAAGAAAATACTGATGGAATGGTTGCATTTTTCAAAAATGTATTATTGTATACGAGTAGCAGCTGTCCACGCGGACGCATCGCTCACTCAAGTAGGAGAGAGACAGATGTCGAACGCTGCCGAACGCGGAGGCCGATTGTGCCTCTTTGTCACTCGTTCCGCGCTCTCGCTTGCACTTCACGCCTTAAATGGTAACGCCTCAGAGCGAGGTAACGCCGCATGAGTCATGTTTTTTCGTGCGTGCAGCCGGCTCCATCGAATTATAAGACGTTGTCACGTCAATAATATAAATGCTTTTAGTCTGGTAACATGTGATATGTCTTCAGCATTGCTTTTAAAATAAATGTATTTAAAAAAAAAAAAATTAAGATCTCAATGTCATAACTTAGGTAACGTACACATAATACGTGACCCAAAATGCTACGCTTAGTTATAGGGAGGGGGGAGGGAGAGCGTGTATGCTTGTCACGTAATCAATATCTATGTATGTATGTAAATAATAATAATACCT